TGTCTGCGTGTGCCGGGGGGCCGGGCGTGCACGCATGGGCAGGCCGGGCATTTCCATGACCACAGCCTAAGGACTTGTGCAGTGGTGTTGGGGCTCTGGCAGCACAATGCCCGGGGCTCTGGGAGGAGGCAGCTGCGCAGTAACGTTCCTTTTCCTCCTGCAGGCAGGAATGACGCCCGGTGCCATCCTGGCCCCAGCGCCCTGGCACTGCTCTGTCTGATGTACAGCTTTGGGTGAGAGCCGCTGGGGCCTGTGTTTGTAATAAACCTTTCAGCCTGCTGCCAGCTTGCTCGCTGGTCCTGCCACGGGCACCACCACTGCTGCCTGGGCGGGGAGGCGGCGGTGCCTGGAGCTCCACTGTGGGCACTGGGCCCAGCAGTCCCTTTGGAGCCTCTTCTCTCTTGGCCCCCTTCGCCTGAAGCCCCCACCTGAGTGACCCTGGGGGGTGAGGGCAGCTGCAGGGGGCCTGGCCTGGAGCCCTCTCCCTAGGCAGGGTCAGGAATGGGCTCAGGGCTTCCCCAGCCATGGGTCCTGGGCCGCTGAGACGGGAGCCCCCAGTGGGTGCTGGGGGCTAAGAACCAGCCAGAGCCAGGCTAACAGCAGCAGAGGTTTATGGAGGCTGGTACAGTGCATTGTGGGTAACACAACAGCCAGTAGGACCGGTCAGACTACAGGGAGGGGCTGGGGGGCTCCGGAGCTGAGGCCCATCCAAGCAGGGCTCACGTTTAGTGCCGGAACTGAGGCACGGGCGAGGGGATGCGGATTTCCTGGCCCTTCTCCAGCCGCCGCTCACAGTCGATCAGGTAGTTCACTCCATCTATCACCAGCTGCACCAGCTCCACCTAAGGCAGGAGCACAGAGCCCGAGTCAGGCCTCGCCTCCTCCCGCAGCCCAGGGGCCACGGCTGCAGCCAGTAGCTCTCTGTGCCCACACAGGGCTTCCCTGGTAGCCCTCCCTGCCCCATGGCTGAGCCCTCCCTGGGCAGGGCCTGGCTCCTGCATGGTGCTGGACATGCAGTGATGCTGCTACCTGGGCACAGCAGGCCCTGCACACCCATGAGCACGGGGCAGCCGTGGCTGTGGTAATGCCAGGTGGCACCCACAGCTCAGCCTAGACCCCTGGTGCCAGACAGCAGCACAGCACTCTCCTCCCTTCACAACCCTCCTCTTGGCTCCATCCGTGCACCAGGAGCCCCTGGCTTCCCTCAGCTGGCTGGGCTGCAGTTTGCCCCTCCATGACCCATGCAGTGCACATGCAGCAGGCAGACAGGTGAGCGCTGGCGTTCTGCACTGCCACGCTCGCAGTGCCTTCCCCTGCCAGGCTTGGCCAGAACACCGACCCAGGCAGGTACCTCAGATTTTCCCAAGCGATCCAGATTGGAGATGTCAAAGGTGGTGCCGGTGGTGGCCGTGTCCACCCCGCCCGTCCCGCGCTTCTGCAGCCGCAGGTTCTCCAGGATCTTGGCGAATCGGGTGTCCTGGAAACGCAGAGAGGTGTTGGGTCAGCGCCTTGTGGGGGAGACTGAGTCCCTGCTGAGGCAGTCCAAGAGGGCAGGGCAGGGCCTCTGGAGCCAGGCCTGAGTGTGGGACAGGGGAGCCCAGCCAATGAGAATGGGGAGCCCAGCTTTGAGGAGAGCGCAGGGAACTGAAGCTGGAAGACCTGCCATAGGGATTGTTCCCAGAGATGGGACGTGATCTGGTCTGTGGCTGGGCCAAGGGCCACCTCCGATCTGTGTCAGATGGAGCTGAGTGCAGCTCCCAGCATGCACTGCTCTTCACACCAAGCAGCTGGCTGTACCTGTCCCCTAACTCTGATAGGAGCCCCAAATCCTGGGGCCCTCAATGGCTGTTCTCCTGGCTTTGTGAGGTCTGACCTGCCCCGCAGGCTCAGCGCTGCTCCAAGCAGCCACAGCTACAGTGGTACCTTGCTCAGCAGCGGCAGTTTGATGTGGACCCCGGCACGCAGCCCGGTGCCCAGGTTGGACGGACACGTCAGGATGTAGCCCAGCCTCTCATTCCACATGAACTCCCAGCCTCGCTCCTGGATTAGTCTCTCCACCTGGAACCCAAGGAACAACCACAGATCAGCCTCGCGGCCAGCTCTCCCAGCTTTGGGGCACAGGGCCCGGCAGCCCCTGGTGTGAGCCACTGAAACTGGGTGTTGTGGCCTGAGCCTACCCCTGAGGGGGCCATTCCACTGGGCAAACCGGGAGGGCCGGGCCGGGGCGGCTGACGGCACCGGAAGGGCCGGGCCAGGCCGGGGCAGCCTTGCGCTCACCTCCTTCAGGCCCTTGCAGAACCTCTCAAAGACCCGCTTCATGTTGCCGCCCTTCTCCATGGAGATGAGGCGGGTGTGATCCTCCTCGTTAATCCAGATCAGGAAGGTCTTCTCATTATTGTGCCTGGGGGAGAGCACAGCTCGTCAGCACCTGGAGCCACAGCTGGGCCGGGTAGATGCAGGGCAGCCCACAGGGAGGGGGTGCCCAGCAGGGGTCAGCCCCTGTGACAGACTCAAGGTGGGAACCTCTTGGGCCAGCTCTGGCTTGCAGGTGGCACCGCCGTCTGGGAGGAGAGCACTGATCCTGCCCCTGCTGGAACAGAGCCAGCCAGGTCCCAGCAGCCAGGCCAAAGCCCTGACAGCGACACTGCAGTTAAACAGTCCCACACCCCCAGCCAGTGGGCACAGGCCAGCCACGCTGTGTAAGTGCAGTGGGGACACACCCTAAGGCAGCGTGTTTCAAACAGCCACCAGCATGGGCAGAAATGGGGGGGCAAAGCTGCGGCCCCTCCCGGCAGCACCCAGCTCTTGCTCCTGACTAGCTGTTCCCGAGGGCGGTGAGATGGCCACCTTGGGGGTTGTGCTGGCAGTGCCAGCAGGGGTCGGCGCCCTGCACCATACAGCCTCCCCAGGGGTTCTGGGCAGAGCCTCTGGAGACACGAGGGGCCAGTGTGTGCAGCACCGGAGGTGACTCTTCTCCATGGAGGTGGCTGTGGTGTTCGGTTGCTGGGGCTCCCCCCTGGCAGCTCCCCCACTCCAACCTACCCAGGGCACTGGGAGCCTGGGACGCCGCAAGTGACCGGTGAGTTCCCCCACCTTCCCCAGGGCCAGGGGCTCTCACTGAAGGGTTGCGGGGGAAGGCACAGAGACAGGTTTGTCCCAGCGGCCACCAGCAAGAGTTGGTGGCCGCACCTTGAGGCCACCAAAAAATTGGTTGTGAGAATCCCTGGGCCAAGGGGTCTGGGGAGAGCCAGGGTTTGGCCCCCACAGCGCAAACAAGCCACAAATGGTTTCTCTTGGAAAAGCAGGTGCCTTGCCGGGGCCTGGTTATAAGGGGTGGGGGCAACAGGCGTATGAGGCGGGTGTGGGGCGTGAGTTTATATGCATTTGCCTCCTGCCAAGTGTAAACGTAACCCCCCAGGAATGACTCTAGGCCATGCTCCCAGGCTGGGGGCCTGTCCGGGGAAGCTGGGGCTCTGAGGAGGGGGGGTCAGGGTGAACGGTCAGCGGAACAAGAGCTCCTAGTGTGGGGGGGTAATAGGAGGTGTCGTTGTGGGTATTGTGCTGCCCTGTGTGTGCGTGGCAACTGGCTAAGGGGCAGGGCCTGAAGCCGTGCCCCACCGGCTCCATGCCATCCGCTGTCCAGGTGGCTCCATACCAGATTCCTCGGGCGTCGGGCCAGTCCCGGGCCATTCCTGATGCCGTCAGTAAGGGGGAGACGGGCTTGTCAAAGAGGAAGTGATCCTGCGGAAGGAGATGGGGCATGAGCAAGATACTGTTCCCAGGGGATACCCTGCCCAGACCCCGAGCTCTGGGCTCTGCCCTCCCCTGGGCACCTTCTGGTCAGCTCCCCCAACGCAGGGCAGACCTAGCTGCCTTTGAGGCCTGCAAGCTGCGCTCTGGGAGCTGGGAACAGGGGCAGGGCCAACTCCCAGCAAGCTCAGCAGTGGCTGTCCCTAAGGACCCCCTTCATTAGGGTCCGCTCCGGGGCGGGAACTGCTCTGCAGCCCCAAGAGGCTATGGCTGGATCTGCCCGGAATTGCCCCAGGCCCAGAGGCTGGCAGCACCCATGAGGCCAATCACAGGGAGACGGAGTGGGAAGTGCTGCAGGAGGTGCTGGGCTGCGGGGTCCGTGGCCCTTGGGACTAAGCAGCATGGCTGTGTTATTCCCCTCTGCAGCCAGCCCGCTGTGGAGCAGCAGCCGTGCCCAAGCCTGCGCCCCGTCCGGGAGGAGGGCACTGATACCCTCTGCCATGCAGGACAGGGAACCTGGCCGGGGCAGCAGAGGGAGGAGCATGAAGGGCAGGTGGCGGGGGGGGGGATGGGGGCAGTGGCAGGGAGAAGAAAAGGGCAGAAGCTGAGCTAGCATTTCTGGGTTACTTTCTCCAGGGCGCCTGCCAGTTTTGGCCCATCAGTGTCGTACCCTTCCCCTGCCCCTGGCAGCCCCATGGCTGGCCCTGGCCCTGCCCCACTGCCCTAGGATGGCCCTGATGTGTCCGTCCCCCCATCACCCCCTGGCAGCCCCATGGCTGGCCCTGGCCCTGCCCCACCGCCCTAGGATGGCCCTGATGTGTCCGTCCCCCCATCACTCCCCTGGCAGCCCTGGGCCCCGCGGGGTTGCTCACATCAATGAGCTGCTGCTGCTCCTTCTCCGTCATCTCACTGAGGCGATAGTACCGGCCGGCCAGGTCTCCTGTCAGGCCGCTCAGGGCATCCACAGTCACCTTCTCCACCTCCCTCCTCTCGGCGCGGGAGCAGGCAGGGGGCAGGCTGAGCCCGCGGATACTGCGCCCCGTCCGGACGCGCGAGGAGAGCACGTAGCGCTCGTCGAAGTAGCCGGACTTAATCTGCGGGTGGAAGCAGGGGTGGTGGGAGGTGAGACCCCCACGATGGGAGCGAGGGCATCAGCAAGGGGCAGAAGGTGGGCGGGGGGGAGCCGATCCTGGCTGGTAGAAGCTGGGTCAGTCCTTGTCTGAAAAGACCCCTGGATGGTGAGATGTGGGGGTTACAATGTGTTCTCCCCCCCCACACACCGGGGCTGCACCAGAGTCTGCAGCCAGTGCCTGCCTGAAACAAGTGTTGGGCTGCTGATTATTTTTGCCAAAACACTCATGCCTCAGGGTGAGTAAGTGGGGCCTAATAAGTGGGTGGAGCCAGGAGTTTTGCCCTCGATGTTTCCCATTCTGCCCAGCTGGGGGTTAGAGCAGTGTCCTCCCTGGTGTCAGGGGTACTGGGCTCTG